AGTTTTCAACCCTTTCCCCTCCCCTGTCATTTTTGGAACCTGGCATAGCAATTTTAAGCCTACATATGCAAGCTTTTGCTTTATTTACTTGCTTACACAGACCACTGAAACATAGTCCACACTTGCAGAGCACCACATTCAATAGCCCAAGTGACACTGTGTTAGCTGTCGTGTAAGCTGTCATACAGACCGCCTGTATTCTCCAGAAGGACTGCATAATGCTATCCTGACAACATAAAGGTTGTTCTTGTTGAACTGTTCCCATATTGACACATTTGAAATTATGTCTTAAGACAAACTGACTCTATAAAAACATTCATTCTTCTTGCTTTCTGACAAGACACTCCCAATAAACTTAAGAAAAGACAACCAATTTGTTATTAACTTATTACTACAAACTAACTCCATCTTCTAAAGATGGGGTTTCTTTTTTTCCCTGAATATTCATAAGCTTCTTTCATGGAAAGCTCCAATTGAGACATATATACCTAGATACTTAAACAGCTAAGCAAGTAAAAATGTGTTTATTTTTACAGCTTAACTATTTGTGCCACAGGTAGCTGTCATATTATCATTTTTTGTTAATTGTCAAAGTTGTAGCTCACTATTAGGGTTGCTTGAGCAGTAAATACACTGAAAAAGTATTTTCAGGTGCTAAATGGTATATATTTACTGAGATGTTGAGCTTTGTGATTCTCAGCATAATTAAAATCTGTCACCCACTTCACATGCCAGTGCATGGCTGCACTTTATTCTTCTGTTAATGATGTCTTAGACCTTTGTATTACCTTTCCCCTTTTCTGCCATTGATACCCTCGCTTCTCCCTCTACCCCTCAGATTTTACTTCCTTATTTCTTTATCAATCTCTTTACCGAGCTAGTTCTTTCAGTTTGGATGTTTGGTCCACAATGGGACACCCTCACAATGGAGATGCATCTTTTCAGCAATGTACATAAATAGGTATATTAGTTTTACTAGGCTTCATGACCCAAAAGGCTTGCAGAATCAAACCTCTTCCCCAAATTTATACCCATGTAGATGATTAAATCATGAGCCACACAAGGATACAGGCTAAGACTTCCCTCTATAGGACTACATCAAGATAGGAAGCCAATTCTTTTTCCTCAGAAGATGGAGGAAGGATGCTCTTGGTATTATTATACATGCCATCCCAGCACCTGCCAGTTGCTTTAGAATCAGTCTCCAGCCTGTCAGTTGCTTTACCACAGGAAAAATAACAGCAGCTCGCTCCCATTCACAAGTCTTCAAGCAGGGTCAAACTATCACTCACTTTAATAATAATTTGCTGACAGCATCATTCTCACACACTTACTTTACAAAAGCCAGTTCTATCCCCAGATTTACATCTATTTTAAAACAGAAATTCCTTGAAAACTAAAAGTTTAAATTTGTTCAACCCCCACCAATTACTATTTAAGGCTGACAGTCACTCACCTTACAACTGGACAGTCTACTTAGTCCATGGTTAAGCCATCAAGCAGTTTTTCCTGAACTTTAAAGTATTAGATACTTCAGGCAGCTCCAGTTAAGTGACCTGCATCCACTAGAGCAAATTAACCCCTTGAGCCGTGTTAAAAGCCTGATAAGTTTTCAAATGCCCACTTTTTAACATACTGCTTACTTATTCATATATTTATGCACTTACACTAATCACTCAAAGATGATGTCTCAAAGCTCTCCTTTCATTCAGTCACCATATTTGTCAAAGATTTGTACCACATTACTTTGAGAGAGAAAAGAAATCAAGGACTGTGTCATGTCCACTGCACTTTATCAGGCTACTGGTTTTAAACATCTACTTTTGTCTTTCTCATATTTTAGTGTTTGAGTCTTTTGGGACAAAACCAAAGACTGTTCTCTCAAAAATGTCTGAACAGCCAAATGTGGTAGTTTAGGTAAGTGCACACCAAACACGTGTTAATTACTACCCAATAACTGGATCCATGCAAAGGAGTTATGATATTTACTGTAGTGAAATACTGACAGCGATCTGTTTGCCTTTCCTGTCCACTTTGTGTGTAGTCCTTCCTTATACTATGATGTGACTGATGTACTGCAAGTGATCCAGGGCATTGCCCTCTTCCAAAACCTTCTATGTAAGTCTGTAACAAATGTCAAGGCAATGGCAACCCTTTGGCAGGAGGCACTCCTCTCCAGGCACAAACTCCAGTTTATTGGGTGAAAGAATTTGAGAAAAAAATGTGTTATGACTATGGCTGAAAAAGTAGTACCGATATAATCAGAGAATAGTTTGGGTTGGAAGGTCCCTTTAGAGGTCATCCAGTCCAACCCTCCTGCAGTGAGCAGGGACATCTTCAATTGGACAAGGTTGCTCAGAGCCCCATCAAGCCTGGCCTCGAATATCTTCAAGGATGGGGCCTCTACCATCTCTCTGGACAACCCATTCCAGTGTATCACCACCCTCCTAGTGAAGAACTTCTTCCTTGTATCTAGTCTGAATCTATCCTCTTTTAGTTTAAAACCATTACCCTTTGTCCAATTGCAAAATGCCCTGCTAAAATGTCTGTCCCCATCTTTCTTATAAGCCTTCCTTAAATATTGAAAGACTGCAATAAGGTCTCCCCACAGCCTTCTCTTCTTCAGGCTGAAAAGCCCCAACTCTCTCAGCCTGTCCTCATAGCAGATGTGCTCCATCCCTCTGATCATTTCTGTGGCCCTCTAGACCCACTCCAATAGGTCTTTGTCTTTTCTGTGCTGAGGATCCAAGGGCTGGACGCAGTGCTCCAGGTGGGGTCTCACCAGCACAAAGCAGAGGGGCAGAATCACCTCCCTCGACCTGCTGGCCATGCTGCTTTTGATGTTGGCCTTCTGGGCTGCAAGTGCACACTTCCAGCTCATGTCCAGCTTTTTACCCACTGGTATCCCAAAGTCCTTCTCTACAGGGCTGCTCTCAATTACACCATCCCCCAGCCTATACTGATACCAGGGGTTGCCCTGACCTAGGAGTTTACCTCGTGAGGTTCACACAGGCCCACTTACCCGGTTTGTCTAGGTCCCTCAAAAACATCCCATCCCTCTGGGATGTCAACTGCACCACTCAGCTTGGCGTCTGCAAACGTGCTGAGGATACACTCAATCCCACTGCCTATGTCACTAACAAAGATGTTAAACAGCACTGGTCTTAATACAAACCCCTGAGGAACACCACTCGTCACTGATCTCCACCTGGACATTGAGCCATTGACCACCAGCCTCTGGATGCAACCATCCAACCAATTCCTCACACACCAAGCAGTCTACCCATCATCAAATCCATACCTCTCCAATTTAGAGAAGATGCTGTCAGGGACTGTGCTCAAAGGCTTCACAGAAGTCCAGATGGACAACATCAGTAGCCCTTTCCTTGTCCACTGATGTAGTCACTTCATCATAGAAGGCCACTGGGTTGGTCAGGTAGGACTTGCCCGTGGTGAAGCCACAGCTGTCTCAAATAATTCCTCTGTAACCTTTGAAGTATGCTGCAGTGTACCCAGCAAGTATCAAAGCAGCTGGCTGAGGGCCCTCACTAGCATCCCATCCCTCTAACCTTGGTGTGTCACCCCACAGCTTGTCACAGGCAAGTCTGGTATTACCAACCCACCTGTTCAAGTCTAATTTAAAACTCTGTCAATGAGCCCTGCTAGCTCATGAGCAGAGACCCTCTTCCCCTTTTGAGAAATGTGAATCTAGTCTGATGTCAGCAGGCCTGGTACCTTGTAGACAATCCCATTATCGAAAACCCCAAAACTGTGGCAGTGACACCAGCCACAGAGCTATGCAGTAATAGGCTGAGTCTGCCAGTTTCTTCCAATGTTGTCACGTGCAACTGGAAGAACAACGGAGTTAAAAGTTATTTGGACTCCAGACTCCCTTATCAACCATCCAAAACACCCGAAGTATCTTCTGATTGCCTTTGGAGTACACATTATGGCTGCATTACCACCTATATGGAAAGCAACAATGGCTCCAGGGAGACACCAAACTTCCCTATGCTGAGGGTATACCTGGCATATTGGACACTGTTCCCCTCAGAAAGGAGTCACCTACAACTATAACCTGTCTTTTCTTCCTCAGTGAGGTGGTCACGAAATGGAGGGGTAGGCCTTACTGACCTTGGCAACATCTCTGGTGTATGTATATCCATCCACATCACCCATTTGCTCTGTCATCTCTGCTTCCCCTTAGCTTTTCAACAGGAGCAGAGCTGCAAGCAGTCAGCAGGAGCAGCATGCCGAGTTGGCGGCACCAGCTGCCTTTTCTTGGCACACAGTCACTCCAGTTGTGCAAGTGTGGTCCCAGGCATGCCTAGAGGTCCTCCACAGCCAGGTGTCCCAAACTACAGTGGTATTGAACACAGGAACAAACTACACATTTGCTCCTTGAAGAACAGAGGCAATCTTTGACTAGAGTCTGCCAATACACTGGTCATGACTAGCTTCTTAAAGGAATTTTAAAAA